GTTCTGCTCCCACTGCAGATATTTTTGAGGGGAATGGTGTCTCCAGTGCAAAGCAAGTAAGCAGCCTGTGCCCAAGGCTCAAGCCACTCCACGGGCTTGTGGCCCCTCAAGCCAGCTCCCCTGGGCCCTCTCAGCCTTTGAGGCCAGCACAGTGCGGTGGGAAGGGAAGCACTTGTCAGGGAAGCTGGGCAAGTTGGCAGCTCTTCCCCCCTGCCTCCTGCAGGTGCCAGCCTTGGTCAGGAACCTGCACCAGAGACTGACAGCCAGCGAGACTCTGGAAGAGAAGCTGCTGACAGAGTTCCTGAGGGTGACTGAGGCACACCCTGATGATGTTGTGGTGACCCTCCTGCGCTGTGCCCCATCATGTGACAGGTACAGGGCCTCCCTGCCTTCAGGACTCGGGGCTTACCAGCCTTCAGAGCACATCAGCCTGTCCATCCTGTCCCACGTGGTCTGCCAGAGGGATGGAGAGTTCCAGGACCATCTGGAGCCTCTGTTTCCCAGCCCTGCCATGTCAGCCCCCATCCTGCTGCCATGCTCCCTCCCTGCTCCTCAAGGCACTTTGGCCGGCACCCCCTGACACAGAACTCTGCCCCACAGAGCTGCTGCAACCATATGGAAGACCATCGCCTCATCAGGAAGGACAATGGAGAAGGTGCTGCCAAAGCTGCTCCGCGTGATGGAGGACTGGCCACGGCACAGCACGTCCACCTCCGACGGGGACAACACACATGTCTTTGGCCTGGCTGTGAGTTTCTGGAACTGGACTTTACTTGCCCACAGGTCGCTTCTCCAGCAGCTCTCCATCCTCCCCGAGCACTGCGTCTCCCTGCCTCAGGCGCTGGGCTGGAAACCTGGCTTAGGGGCGGGTTCAGGGGCACCAGGCTGGGGGCTGCCCCTGCGTCTTCCCTGGCCTCTGCCTCCCACACCTGGGCTCTTTCCCATGGACGTCTGGGCACTGAGAGCTGTGTCTGAGTGGTTTATCTTTCACAGGCAACCAGGGTGATCTGGGAGATTCTCCAGATGCTGCAGTGCCCAGAGCTACTGAAAAAGTATTCCCCCCGTCTCCTCGTGGATCTGCTCTTCCAGATTTCCATCCACACAGAGCAGACACCAGAGGAAGTTGACACCTTGTGGAGGGAATGCCAAAAGCAAGACAACCTTCCCACAAACTCCAAGAGGTGCTCAGTCCCAGTCCTCCTGACCCTCTCATGCCCTCGGGGCTGCTCAGGGCTCCCAGGATGATGACCTGGGCTTTGCTCTGCACACAGGTTTGCAGTGCTGACCACCAAGGCCCTGCTTTGTCATCTCGAGTGTGAAGATGTCATGGTTGCAATGGAACAGAAGCGTGGCTGGGACACACTCCTCAACTCTGACACCCACCACTATGCAGTGGGTCTGCTGGCCAGGTGAGACACCCTTGTCCCCGCTGCCCCTGTCATTTCTGCCTGTGCACGGGGCACCCCACACAGTACCTGTGGTCGTGGGCCAGAGGGCCTTGTCACCCA